TTGAGCTCCTGATCCCTTCAGCAGTTCAGAAATTCTAACGGTATGTTCTAAACTCCACAGAAATCACTTTTGAAATCAAATTACCAGTTGAAGTTTAATAGGAATTTACTATGAAAAATAAATTTATTTAATGGAAAAGTTCAAGTACAAACGTTAAGTGTCATTGGTTTCTGTGCAACTGTTAGAAGATTACAGAATCTAATTAGATTGCAACTTGACCCTGAAGGGAAATATATTATGAGTAGTTTTAAAAATTTGCCTGTTCACTGTAAATAATTTGGTTCGTTCAAAATATTTTTAGCCATTATATCCTCAATAGACTAGATGCATTAAGAAGGTCACCATAGAGTGGAGCCAGTATATGCATTAAATGTCATGGATTAAACTGTATACAGAAAACAAATGAAGCAGTGATTCCTAAATTAGAACTGCATCATTGTGTAAAAAGTCATTGTTTATGCCAATATCTCCAGGTGTCAGCTGAACTATTAATGCAAAATCATTCTTTCATAATAGCAACATCTGGCAGATATGAAAGTGTTGTCAGTGCAGAAAGTTTTTCTTATTTTTTTTCTGTATCTCTTTGGTAATATTTATTAAATATAAATTATACGGAATGAATTCCTAGAACTGACTTCTTTTAAGCTCTATAAGGAGCTCTCTTGACATCACCCTGTGTAAGAGGAGGCGAGTCTGGTACTCCCATGGTAGATGTATTCAGTTATTCCGGTGTTTGCAGGAGTAGCCTTTTAGTGATTACTAAATCTGGAGTACTGTATTTCTTATTTAAACTAAGTGTATATTGATAAATAATGGGATTACAAAACCAAAATATATTGGAAAATTAAAAAAGCTGTTAGAAGTATAACATTATTGAATACATTCAGGAGGGAGTTAACTGGGAATGTGGTAATTTGAAAACTAATTCCAAAATACTGATTTTCTTTAATCATAATATTAGAAACACCTATTCAGTTTACTCAGGTTTTAAATGTTCATATATTATAGGGATCAAGCATTTTGAAAGATGGTGCAGTTATTATTTTCAAAGGTACCATATTCCTGTGGACTTGTCTTTCTAGGTGGTATGTGTTGAAATTGTAAAGTGTAAATGCTTTTTCCAACTTGGATGTAGATTTTGAATGTATCCTTTAAAATAAATGAATTAACTGAAATGGCACCAAAAAGTTACCAGAGAGATACCAGTTACATGTAACCTCAACCTAAGTGATTATGCTGCCTGCAGCAATAAAAATATCATCTCCTTTACATTTATTGCTAATTGCTTAAATTAATACAATTATTTTCTCCTGTGTTAAATTTCTAATTTATTACTGCTGACATTGGAGTTGTACTTTATCAGGAGCTTTTTTTCCCCTGATAGCTGAGCCATGTTTTAAATTTTGTAGACTACACTGCAGCCAAATAAATCATTAGTAATAGCAGTCACTTCACCTAGCTGTGGCATCTGTCTCATGTCCAAGTGTGCTGAAACCAGCTACAGACAATGAAGCAAAGACAGTAACAATAGCTACATTATTCAAGTTTGTCAAAGAAATGTTTTATATGATAGTTTTTTTCACTTTAAAAGTAGATTATGTTAGTATAACATATAGCAACTTGTAGATTCAGAAATCTCAGAAATGGGACCACTTGCAACACCTAGATCCACAACAGGGTTTTCGTAGCAGTTTATTCTTGTAACTCATCGAATGTATGAACATAATTACTGCAGCATAAGTAGAAATTAGGACCCTGCATAAGTCATGTCAAATAGCAGAATGTAGCCTTTCCTTCATACAGTACATTAAAGAAAACTTCTAACACAAGGAGAGAATGTATACTAAAGTACTTGTGTGTGTACATGTGTCTCAATGCAAACAGATATGTAGAACATTTTAGATTTCAGCTCAAAAGTAATTTTTGAACAGAATTTGTGTACTCAGATTATATTTTTATATAATACATAACAGAAAAAAAAATCTTTTTTATAAAGAGAACTAAAAAGTTTCTTTATGAAGTTAGTCTTGAATTTATTATAGAAAAAAAATTTGCATAGCTTTATTCATACAAAACAGTGCAGGAATGTAGTCATTTGTATTGAGGGAGAAGTGAGGATAAAGTGGGGGTATATTGCAGGGACATAAAGTACCTTAGCAATTTAAATGCTTAGCCACAAGCTAATATTGAGATATGATAACAAATTCTTTGACTGAAATGCTGTGTATGTGTTTATAGGTCCTTTCAGGGGATTTTCCTGTCACTGTTGTACCTCCAATAGTAATCTTTCCTTGCCAAGTGTTTTTGGTTTTTTGGTTTTTCTTTATTTAGCTGGCTGTGTGGGTTTCTTTTCAGCTGGCACATGTGAAAATCTACACCTAAGGAGCTTCAACTAGTCTAATACTAGCTTCCATAAGTACTTAAAAAAAGTTACTCTCTCAAAGAATTGATAAGTAGAGATTAGTAAGAAAAGATGGGATGGGAAAATGAGTGGTAGGAATGCAAAAGAGAAGACACAGGAAGATTGTAGAAATAAAGCTATCTTAAAGTTTGATGTGATGCTGGACAAAGCACAGTGGGACATATTTCAGATGTGAAACTCAATCAGCAACTTCTTTTTTGATTGCAAACTGTACTTACTTCCATCATAATTGGGAATTGTCAGTTAATTACCATACCTAATTCTGAAAATAAAAATCACAAATAATAAACTTACTTGAAGACTAAACTATCCCACAATGCTGTACTCTGATAATCTTTCATTGTCTTCTTAAATATCTGTTCCTGACTCCTGTTGGAGACATTCACTGAATTAGATAGATCCTAAACCTGAGGATAATTTAAGACATTACATAGGTTTTGCTCTTTTAAAAGAATAATGGCAAGACACCTCCTCAGTATGTACTTTTTTTTTTCATGCTGTAATATTTTGGGGCATATTTTGAGAAGGAAGAAATATGTGTAGACTAGCAAGTACTTCAGAAATAAGCTCCCTCAGTAATGGTAGATGAAATGTGATTTGCAGCATTACCTCTGTATATGTCTGCTGTGTTGGGTTCTGAGCAATGGCAAGAAGTTCTCTGCAAAACCTTACAATTAAAGTTCAATTTCCAGCTACATCCAGGAGCAGCATCTTTGCCTGTGAAGTTACATGGTGTCTCAAGAATTATGATAAAAGGTTTATATCTGGTTCTGCTCTGAAATATTTTTGCAGCATAGACAATACATGGATTTATTTAGCTTTAAAATATTTTTGACACAATGTAGAAGGATTTGTGTGTACAGAAAAGGCAGTTGCCTTTGGATGGATTTGTCGTCAGAATTCATAAGGCAATGTTTTCTCCATCTCATTTCACGTTATTATTTCTTACATATCTAATTGCATGATAACTCAATATCCTCTCTCTTTTCCTTTTTTTTTTTCCCCTCTAGATTCATAACCAATACCCAACAGAGTTTGAGTTCAATCAATATTATCTGAAGTTTCTGGCTTTTCATCACATATCAAATCGATTTAAAACATTTCTTCTGGATTCAGACTACGAAAGACTAGAGCATGGTATGTGTGATGTCTGTATATTGCATACTGGGTTTGTAGTTGTCAGTATTTTTCTCATCATATTTTATCTACAAAAACTTGCCTCATTTGAGAGGGTCCAATAATTGCATGGTGATGATCTAATGAATTCCACTTCAAAAATATAAAGCAAAACAGAGGTGAAAAACATGTAGAGATTTCTGAATCATAGAATCCTTTAGGTTGGAAGAGACCTTTAAGATCATCAAGTCCAATCATCAAGCCAACACTACAAAGTCCTCTGCTAAAACAGATCAGAAATGTCAGAATGAACGATTCCCTATCCATGCCACTGATGGGACTAAGAGAAAGTGGAAGAAATTAGTGCCATGTCTCAGGAGTGTTCAGCAATTTATCCACATGGTTCAGTTTCCCCTACTAAATCCCTTATTGTAACAGAAATAGAGTCCTTGGGAATCCTTCAGGGGGTGCATGGGCTTTCAGAAAAGCAAAGCCTTTCCATCTGTTACCCCTCACTTCTTTCTCTTCCATTCTCTTCAGTGCTTCTCTTCTTTTATATTTCCTTCTTACTCCATCTATCATGTGCAACCTTACTGGTTCCAAGACCATATCTACCCTCAGAGACCTCTTAATAAGTCTACAGAACCACAGTTGAAGCTGTTCTTGGATCTTATTCATTAAGCAAAGCACATGTTTGGACTAGATGATCTTTAAGGTCCCTTCCAACCCAAACTCTTCTGTGATTCTATGATTATTTTATTTCAACAAAAAAAATAATTTCCGTTATTTTACCTTCATTTGAACAAAAGCAAGGAGTTAGTCAGTGACCTCCCGTGATTCATTCCAACCTCCATTGTTACATGGTTCTATAATTTGGTGGGGGGTGTTAGTTTATTTAGGGGTGGTTTGCTTTCAGATACAATTTAATGCAATATATGCTGTTTGCAGTAGTCTTCAGATAAATTATATGTCCTTCCAAAGTCATTTCAGATAGCACAAATCTATGGCTAACTTGCTTGCAGCAGCCTGATGTGTTTTTTCATGAAGTGGGTTAGCAAGTAATTTCAGGCACAGCTGGTCCAGCAGACTGGAAGGACTGGCAACGTTGGGTAGTGGAGGGCAGAATCAGTAATGACAGATTGGTGGTCTGCTGAGTCAGCATAGCCACTGGCAGGAAAGGACAATCATAAATGCACTCAGATATTTCAGTAAATCTCAGAACAGGCTTATAAATATAATGCTACTAAATGTTTGTAGTTTGAAAGCACAGCAGTTGTTTCATCAAATACAATCTCATGTTGCAGTGGGATTTGATAGTACATTTTACTGTACATTTAATCAGTGAAATTCCTTTTGGTTATGGTTTAGCATTTGTGACTTATTACCAAAAAGCTATCTTTTTGCTGCTCTTACTTTCCCCAGGGACATTGTTTGAAGATAAAGCAGATAAACATGCCAAAAAAGGAATTTGTATTTGGGAATGTATTGAAAAGATGCACAAAAGAAGTCCTGTTTTCTTCAATTACCTCTATGCCCCTGCTGAAATAGAAGTATGTTTGGGTTGGTTTGTTTGTTTGTTTGTTTGTAAGATGGTTTGTAATTCTGAGTGATTCCTTGAATACATTTCGGTATCTTAATTGTTCTCAGCCGAATTAAGCATTTGTCGGACAAAGCTGACTCGCATTGGTTGATTGGAGCAGTTCCTTATAGGCTTATATTCTCAGTCATCTTTGTTACAGAAATGTCCTTTAAAGGGCCAAATTCTGGAACATGTATTTATGCATCCTGCGGAGGTAAATGAGGATCTTTGTTATATTTCATTTAATTATATGAGTGATTATAAAAATTATCTTAATATTTGCACAGATTGTTTAAAAGAAAACATTACATACTGCAAGCCACATGGTTCAGTTTTCCCTACTAAATACCTTGTTGTAACAGAAACAAAGTCCTCAGGTATCCTTCAGGGAGTGCATGAGCTTAGTACTAGTTTTAGGTTTTGATCTGAGCCAAGTTCTTGGTTTGGAAATTATCAGCTGTAGAACTGCTCACCCAGTGCAATATACTGTTCAGTTTAGAATGCTGTAGAAAATAGAAGTATTGTGTTGTAAGTCTGAAACGCAAAGATACCTTTCACATTATAATAAAACTTTGTTTCAAATAGGCACTGAAACCAAATGTAAATATGTCCAGCCTCAAAAAGTGGGATTATTATGTAGAAGAGATTTTGGCTACAGGTCCCTCCTATGATTGGACCATGGTCACTGCAAAATGCAGTGCTTCAGATGAAGTAGACCAAACGGATGGGTCACTCTCTCAGACCAAGAGGAAAATAGTATGGCCATGTTATGATGATGTTAAAAAAATACAACCTGATGCCATCAGCTGCCTTTTAAATGTAAGTATATGTGTTTCACAGAATAAGTTCTCTTACACTCATGAAATTCATACTTACTTTTTGTTATTGTAATTGCATCCTTGTAGATGCACTGTTATTAAAAAGATCATGATCGATGTCGAAACAGGCATTTTGTAAAACTGACTGGTCGATCTTGAGAAGTGATTGTTGGTCTGGGAATCAATCGAGATTTCCTGCAAAGTTTGTCTTGTTTTAAATCAACACTTTTCTGGGAGTACACTTTAATAATAGTTAATAACTATTACTGTGTGGTAAAATCACAAAAACCTAGATTTCCAGATAGGTCAGAAAACAGAATCTGACACTTGTTGATTTTAACAAGGGGGAGGCAGATGCATGAGCATAAAATGAATGTCTCGGCCAGAATTTCTCAGAAAAGCTTTCCATGATTGCTCCTACTTTATCCATGTTTACTAGGACCAAACTGATAAATTTAGATTCTTTAGAATTTTTTTAGTCTTGAAATAGACGCTTGATTTTGGCTTTTTCTTGTTTGTGCTCACGTAGGTTGCTTAGGTTTTTTCCTTTCTTCATTAGAAGGTGAAAAAGGATCGCATTATCATTATAACTGTTGTAGTTATTTAGAATTACTTAACATCTGTATTTTCTTAAGTGTTTGTTCATTCATTTTTATTAATTAACATTCTTAATTTGAGCTATTGTTTCAAGCCACAAGGATATTTAGATACCCATCAGTATGTACAACACTTTTTAATTCGAAAACTGTTTACAGACTATACTAAAGCTGGGATTATGAAGCCTAATGTTGCAATGCTTAGAAAATTGGGATATGCTGTGGGTCCTAAAAACACCTCTGAATCAAAAGTTGTTTTTAGCAAAGTCTAAGAAAGGCAGTTTCTGAATGGATTTGAGCCCTCAAGGATAGACTTGCTTTTTCTAGAGGATTAGCTTTATTCTGGCACATTCCTCAAATTTCTATTGGTCCATTCCTTCCAATCATAATTAATCAAACATGGGAGCAATGCCCAATTAAAAAAAAAAAAACACTTCTAAAACTCATCTTGACTCAAACTGAGGTACCCAAAACATCTTAGAGTTTATAATTTCACAAATGCAATGAAGTCCCTGCTCCCTGCAGGGAGGTTGGACTTGATGGCCTTGGAAGGTCTCTTCCCACCCAAACCGTTGTGTGATTCTGTGATTCTGTGAAGTAGCAGTCTCTCTGCAGGGGTCCTATCAGGGATTCTTGAGCAAAAAAAAAACCAGAGAGCTTTCATATCAGGTAACTAGATGCCAGAAGTACATCAGGAATATAGCAACAATGTTCTGCATTTCTTCCTGGAGCCAAGCTGTCCATATCCAGAACTGCGAGAAACTGCCATATAACAGGGAAATTAGCCATATTACGTTCTAAAGATACACACGTCAGGCTTCATAGGATTTGAATGTTATTTGTGAATTAGATTGCAGTAGTAGAAGACAGCAACGGAGAGGAACATTTGGAAAATTTTGAGGAGGTTTTGTAGAGGTTACAAAAATACTCATCTAAGTTTAAAAAGCAAAGTAAGCTTTCTTTTAAAACAGGTTGTTAATTTAGGACTATTGCTGGTGTAGGAAAAAGAGCTCTTTCTAATCATAAATCCCTTAAGAATGTATTGGTATCCAAAAAATGTTTGACCTCAGACCATATTTAGCAATGGTGAATTACCAGGAAAGATTGATTCTCCCTTATTTTATAACGATAAGCCCATATTTGTTTGTTCTAAAGATAATTTTCAGTTTAAAACTACATAGTGCTCTTCAGGATGTTAGGCTGAAACAGAGAAGTAACTGAGTGTCTTAATTCAGAATTTTCCTTAGTAGAATGTGGTGCTTTTCTATTAAGAGCAAAAGGTATAATATTTTAGCAGTAAATGTTCTAATGTGGTTTTAGTACATAACAATCCATCTCTAACCAGATGTACGTGATGGCTCTGGTTTCCATAAATTGTTACAGTTATGAGTTTTAGGAAGTTAACCAACGTGTACATTTCATTCATTTAGTCCTAAATGACGCCTTTTAAAGATTGCAGATGATAATGTGTATTTTAAAATACAGACTTCTGTATAAAGCTTCTCAGTTAACTTCTACCACATCAGAAGCAGATAACCAATATGAGCTAGATTGTTCAAATCTTAAATTCTCAAAAGTGTACTTTGGAGACAAATGTACAAAAGCAGATCCAAACAAAGGTAATTCCTTTTAAGACCATTTTCTGATGGCCTTTCTGCATGATAGAAATCAGAAACAAGGCACTGGTAGTAAGAGTAGCTACTGATATGGTTTTTAAAGAAAACGAAAGGTAGTTGTGAAATAGCACACCTGTGCCTCTATTTTCTCTTTAAGAGGTTAGTTGCACGTAGTTTTAAAATAAAATAATAGCTATTATTATATTAAAATAATAAATAAAATTATATCCCCAGTGAAAAAAAAACGTTGATTTCTCTACAAAACTCAAAACCCACTCATTTGACAGGAACTTTGTGGTTCTGGCTGTGTGGGTTGGTTTTGGTTTGGTTTGGGTTTTTGTGTGTGTTTTGTTGTTGTTGTTTTGTAAGCACTTGCTTTCCTTGCTTGTAAAATCCAATAAAAGAATACCACAGTGTAGCACATGCAAGAGCCATATCTTCTGTACAGGCTAACGTTCTGGGTTAAATGTTTCCCGTAAAGACTAGCTTTTCAAATGATCCTTTGACATGAATATGATGTGATAAGTTATAAATGAGCTAACTTCTCTGAGTGACATTCAACAAAGGCACATGCAAAGTCCTGCACCTGAGGATACAAATGTATGCTGGGAGTGCCCTGCTGGAGAACAGCTTTGTGGAAGGGCCCCTGGGGGTCCTGACCATGAGCTAACGTGCAGCAACAATAGCTAGTGGTATCCTGGGTTGGACTAGGAGTGTTGCCTGCAGGTTGAGGGAGGTGATCCTTTCTCTCTATTCAGCCTTGCTAAGGCCAAACATGGAGTACTGTGCTCAGTTCTGGGCTTCCTGGTCCAAAATAGAAATGGGGCAACTGGAGAGAATCCAGTAAATGTCCACGAAGTTGATCAAGAGACTGGAGCTTTTTTCATATGAGGAAAGACTGAGAGACCTGGGACTGTTTAGCCCGCAGAAGAGGAGGCTCAGGGGGAATCTTACCAATGTGTATAGATACCTGAAAAGAAGATGCAAAGAAGATGGAGCCAAACTCTTTTCAGTGACACCTAGTGACAGGGCCAGAGGCAGTGGGCACAAACTGAAACACAGGAGGTTCCGTCTGAACATGAGGAAACACTTTTTTACTGTGAGAGTGACTGAGCACTGACACAGGTTGTCCAGAGAGGTTGTTGAGTCTCTGTCATTGGAGATACTCAAAAACCATCTGGACAACATCCTGGGTAACTGCTTCAGCAGGCAAGTTGGACCAGATGACCTCCAGAGGTCACTTCCCACCTCAACCATTCTGTGATATATTCCTGTTTGCTGGTTGTGTTAGAGGTAGTAATCGCATATATTTCAGTGAAAAATGCAAGTCAAATCCTTGAGGGCAAACCTGTCTCCCACTAATTTGCTAATGTTCTTAAAAAGGTATTCAGTCCCCATAATTCATTGGGAGTGGCTCAGGTTCTGGCACTTCTAAGAATTGTGAGAGATGAACCCGTGTGTCCGGGTCTTACAAATAAGCAGTTACATCACTTAGCATTAGAAGATGATTGCTCAGAAAGAGGTTGGCAAACTCAAACAATGCCACTTCAGGATGCCCATCACCCAAATTAGCTCTTCCATAACTACACACTGTAAAGAATGAAAGCTATATAAGAGGCTATTAAATAACCAGCAAAATTATAAAAGTAGTACTTCTGATTATGAGCTCTCTTATAACTTTCAGTTAGAGAAGATACTGAAAAGGAATGATTTCCAAAACAGGGTGCTCTGTCATAGTCAAGACAGTTCACTGGTGCAGGACCTTGTCCAGATTGTTTTGTATGTGCACAAACACGTGGATACAGAGGAGATGGTCAGTCTCTACAGTTCTGTAGTGTCTGCAGAGTTAACTCCTGTCTGTGCTGTTCAAATATTCAAAGCAGATTGCTTAGCAGATACATCTTGTGATAGGCACAGTAATGCTAATTGCTTGTAATGACTCACTTCAGGAAATGAATATTCATATAATTGTATTTATTATAACCTTTCTTTTTGTACATATTGTCTTCTGATCCTGTAAGTCTAGGCAACAGGAGATGAAACAAGAAGATAAGTTTAAGGGTGTTTTCGTTCAAGGAAATGCAACTATTTATAGTCCATTCCACACATGGAAGGGGAAAAAAAATCTAATGTTTTCAGTAAAAGTTAAAGCTGATGGGACAAGAGTAAATCTTAATGATTTGTCACCATGTAAATTTTTTACATGAGATTTATTGAAGGAGAATTTATTCCTAACTTTTCAACTTATATATAAGAGATTGTTGAAAGCTTTTCATTTTAATTTCTGGAAGCACTATTCATTGTGGAGCCAAAAAAGAAGGAATGTGACCTAGTTGCTAAGTAACATATTTTAGTTACTTCCAGATTCTGCAGAGGACTTGTACTCAGAAGTCAAGACTAGGGCAGAAAGAGAATGATCAGATTAAAACCTAACTAACTTTTAGCACTAAAGAGCTTGTATCCTTTTGCATAAAAAAATATCTGTGGTAAATTGATTCAGTCGTATGTATCCCATCAGGAAGCCTTTCACACTCAGCACTTCAAAGGAGGAACAAGTAATATAGAGAAGCCTTTAGTCTGGCTTGTGTTCACCATTCCTTATTTTTGTTTCTACTTATGAAGATATTCCAAACAGAACCATTCTGGTTTTATTTCTTGGCAGGAAAAGAGTCCCATAACACTTAATGTATATGTAGCTTTCAACTACCTTCAGTATTTTAAACTTCTGGTTTGATTCTTGCTGTTAAGCTAGATTTCTTATATGTAGTTTTACTTTTGATTTTCCTAGTTTACCTTCAGCAAGGAAGTTTGCAGAAATATTTTGTTCCTGTTACACTGTCAAAATACTGGCTTTTTTGTTTTTCACCTCAGAGTTCAAAAATTTAGTTTAGGAGTTAATTTTCTGGTCAAAACATTTTCTTACCTTAAAAATGTAGTCAATTTCTGTAAGTCTTTTAATCAATAACAGTTTTCTGAAGAAATTGCCATTCTAAAAGACCAATAGGAGTTAGATAATATTATGAAATCTACCTCTATAATTTTGTATAGTAGAAGTAAATAAAGTCAGAGACTTACTGTCTATACTTTGAAAATAAATGTCTTGGGATTTAGTTGGCTTTTATATTGCACAGTAATTCTCTGTCCTATGGGAATTTTTTGTTCCATCATCAACTCTTAATTGGATTTGCATTAAGAATCGGATTTTCATAATAATATAGTTGTAACTAAAAATGCAGAAAGGAAGAATGGCAAGGAATATGGACCACACATCAAAGTAATGACAAATGTATCAGCGAATGTTCACAAGTAAACATAAACTAATGAAATTGCCTCTTTTTACTGAACTTTGCATGCACTGTCTTATTAACAGGAAATAACCCTAACTGGAGGTTATCATCATAGGTCATATTCCCAAGTTCCACAACAAGAACATGATGTTACAGTTTGGCATCCAAAGTGAATAAATCTTTGTTTCATTTCCTTCTTTTATTACAGCTTTGTATCATATTTTATAAACCAAGGTCAATGTTAATATTGGCAATGTACAATGTTGGTGTCAAAACACAAAATTTGTTCTTTGTAAATATTTTTTATAAAATATAGCCTCTCCTTATCATTGTTGTGTTTCTGCTATGGCAGTTGGTGTTGAATTTTGTGTGTTCAGAAGAGCTGGCAGAGAATTGAAAGCATAATGGCTCCTCCAACCTGGGATGTGCAAGAACAACGTGGCTCGTGCTGTACTTTGGTTGCCTTTAACTTCTGAGTCTGGCTGATTTCAGTTTGTAGCTGCTTTGTCAGAGGTTTTGTACTTTATTTTGCCATGTGGCCTAAAAGTTTCCTGTGTAAAAACATTAACTAGAAAATGATTGTATAAAAGTGATTGCCAGGAAGTGATCAGTTAGAAATGTTTATCCTTAAGAAAACCGTTGTTATTTGTTTCAGGAAATCGAAAGGTTGGAATGTAAATTAAATCAGAGCCCAGAAAGGTGGCAGCTTTTGTGGGAAAGGATCAGAATGAATCTAAAGGATGACACCAGACAAGACAATGTAAGTAGTAAAAGAGTTCATCCAATAGAATAAT